ATCTTATCTCTGAGAGAGTCATTTAACATAACCTGGACGCATGCATATTTTATTGTTGTCACTTCATCTTGGAAAACTATTTCTAGTGAAAACTGTAGCAACCACCGTCACTTATAAAGTAACTACAGTTACTAAATAATAATGTAGCGGCCAAAATGACTCTAGTCATCAATGGGGGGATACACTGTTGTGCAAAGGCAATGGCTGTCACCAGTTACAGTCTGGGGAAAAGGTCCTTAGAGCCTATTCACTCACACCGTGACAAAAAACGGAAAAGTTTTTAAAACAAAAGAATTTTCCCCGTGATGAATGATGCGATCGGGTTAAATAAATGGTTTAGCAAACCGGTTAAAGGCACCTGTAGTCCTTAATTGGGGGTAGGTTTACCGTGGCTTCACAAAAGTGCTCGGAGTGTCTTTTGAAAAAGGGGAAGGTGGATCTGATGAGTACTTCTCAGTCCGTGATATGTATCCGACAGAGAGTTAGTTATATATGTATGGGTAATGGGTTAGAAAGGGTTTAGGCTTAAGTTTAAAATATAATGATTATGTTTAACAGAGACAGACAAAGCGAATCAGTGGAAATACAATACCCGATTTTATAACGATAGATCGTCCCGTGACAGCCGTCTTAATTGATTCGTATTATACTAATTGTCATAAGTTGATTATCATATGACAGAAAAATATAGTTTATGTTTTGTTATGATCTACACACATTTTAGAAACTTTTATAAAAAGTAACTTTTTGTGTTTAGAAAGCTTGTTTAGTTAATTTCGTAGTGTAGATATAAAAAGTACAACTTTTTTCGCAATTTTTTTCTTAGTTTTTTTGGGCCGTAAGCCCATTGATTTTTAAAATAATACATTTACGTAACTGGTAAAGGAACTTTTTGGATTTTGCGGTCATACCGTAGTAAAAGTTACGCTTTATGCAATGGCAACAATATCTCGTTTTTTGAAAATAGTGCCCTTCTGCAAGGTCTAATTTTGGATTACGTCCGGTTTTAGAATCTCCAAAATATTAGTTTTCAATTGCTTAACAATTCAGCTTGTGACACTAAGCCCCCTACAGAATTAATTTCTAGAGCGCTTTTGTTACAAATAGCACTATACTACAATGAGTAAAAACAAGAAAATAGTGAATCAGGCGAATCTGATTGTAGACAACATATATCAAAATTATTATAAACTTATTCTGCATAATATTATCAATAAATGCACTAATAATGTTTTTGTTAAATATTCAGCAAAAAACTAACACAATTAAATATTTATTACTTTTGGTAGAACTATTAATTCCAGAACGAATATTCGAAACACATAAATTTAAATGCCTAGTGGAGCAATTAATGTTATTATTAAAATAACTAAAAGTGCAATAGTAATTTTTTATAAATTTTATAGATTTGTTTACTTGCTTTTTGCGTAGTTGTTAGTGGATTGTAGATAAATGTAGTGGGTGGATTAGGTACTATTGTACGTTTTGCATAAAGATAACAACGGAAAAATTTCCAAATAAATATCACATGGTCATGTTTAAACTTAAGTTTAAAGTACAGCCTACTAAAACATATTGAAAAACATATCTTATTTTTATTGTAATAGTGATGCTATCAAATTATTTTTCGTAAAAAATATAGATTGTTTAAAAATGAAATATTACATGTTCATTCTACTAATAAATTCGGTAAAAAGATAAAAAGTCAAGTACTATTCTTTTATTATTGAATGTACATACATATTATATCAATTAATTTAGTAAACGAAGGTTAAACCTCTTTAAATGTCTTTTTATGTAATTAATAATGTTTAATACAAATGAAAGTAAAGTAATTATTGTCTGATTTTAGTAATAACACAGCGTGCATATGTTTTATTTTAAATTAGGTGAAATAGGTAATAACTTTGTAGTAGAAACCAGATCTGTGATGACTTTTCAATAATATTCCAAAATAGGATAAAACATGTTTGGATACCTTTAAATCTGTCACCATATCTTAAACCCCATACAAGAAATTAGTTTGCCATTGTGCTTATAACCATAAACTCAAATAATTTAATTCTTTGGTATCAAGTATCCACTTTGGCTTTTCCCATTAATGTAATGATTGCTACAATTGCTTGCCTAACTTTATCAGATGTTACATTTACCATTTCACATAGTAAAGAGGAGGGTGTCAGCTAACACCTAAGTAAAAATATTTATTGGTTAACGCTACAATTTTATTGTCTATGCGGAAATGAGAATCCAAAGATTTAAAAATTACCTTTAGAAAATTGAATTATTTTTGTTTTATCAAAGTTAATTGTATTCTACTAATACATTAAATGTTCTTCCAATATCCATAAGATCGTTAGCATAAAACAAGAGAAGTAACATTTTTATTGTCGATATTATCACTTTTAGCACCTCTGGTTGCAAATAAGTTATCAATATTAGAAATAAATAGAGCAAAAAGTAGATTATTAAGTGATTCACTTTGTAAAATCCCAGTATAGGTATTCTAGCAGTTTGGACACTCCCTGGGCGGGAAAGAGACGCGCAATTTTTACTGCGCTGTGTTCGGGATATAATCTATCACTGGTCATAAATCCGGTTAAAAACCCGCTACCACGCACAAGCAACCCATATTTCCTACAGAAACTACAAATTTTTGTTTACATTTTATCGAAGTAGTTTTTGTAATACATTCAAACCTTAAAAACAGAAAAAATTTGTTAAGTTGATAGGAGATTTAGATCAAAAATACCACAAATATATTTTAGTGTGTGTTTTATCCTTATTGTTACGTGTTATTGCTCAGTTTATTTGAGGACATTGGAATAAATAAAGTACTAGAAGTTAATCAAGCTAAAAAAGTGTGTTACGCCAGATCTTCAAGGTTAGTTACCACCCTCTGGAAAAGCCTTGAAACTTCAAGATGGTTCTTGATCTTTTCTATTTGGTAACAAAGGACACCTTCCGAGATCGACCCACTTATAATGGTGTACGGGAAGCATTACTTAGTCTGAGGGAGCACGTAGTGGAGTCACATGTACAAAAACTAGCCATGCCAAAGATAGACCGTAACCAGCTGAATTGGAGGATCATTAGGAACATGGTGGAAGTAATCTTCCAAGATACCGGAGTCCAAATAATGGTTTTCAGCCATTCTCCCAATGTCCAGGTTATAGTTACAAGACTGTCCCTTGTTACTTCAATGCAACTGGAAATTGTAAAAGAGGATTCAGTTGCAGATACAACCATTTCGTTTTAGTTTCGTAAGAGTTCCAGGAGGGGACAATGTAATGTGAGCCATTTCCGACCAATCTGGTCGTGCTCTGATCCTTTGGGTCTTTATTTGGGCCTTGTTAAAGCCCCACTTGTCCTTAAAACCAGGAATATTTGATGAAGGGGATAAACCCCCTTGACCCAACTATAGGGACGCCTATGGTCACAGATAGCCGATATGAATCATTCATTCTAGAATGTACTAAAAGAAAATTCGAGAAACTGCCGGAGACGCCTGTCTAATAAATTGCGAAAACAATCTAGCGCATACGCCAATTTATATACAGGGTGTTTTAAAAAGATTGGTCATAAATTATACCACGTATTCTTGGGTCAAAAATAGGTCGATTAAACCGTACTTACTTATATACAAAAGTGCACCCAAAAATAGTTACAGGGTGTGTAAAATAAAAATTTAAATGAATTTTTTTAACGTTGCTCTTAAACCGTTTGACATTATTTCATGAAATTTTATATAACGTGTTGGAATACCATGACTAACAAAATCAAGGTGGAGGCAATATATTTTTTTTAATTTTTGTAGGATTTTGGAGGGTGTTACCGCCCCTTTCTCTACTCAACTTTTTTGTAATATAAAATTTTATTAAAAATCGAACGCTACTGAAATGCAACATCCTTTGGAAACTTTTTTGTCTCCTAGTATTTGTTTGTAAAATGTTTGGTTTACACGATACAGCCACTTAAAATGACATCTTAAAAATATTCAATGTAAATTATACGTATGCAAAAATATCAAAATTCGATTTTCATTGTTAAAACTATGTAGTAAGTGTATACAGGTGGAGAATGTAATTTTGAACAACTGTTAAATTAAATTTTTTATTTTGATGACATTAGTTTGTAATTTAAAAATAAACTTGATTTTGATATTTTTCATATGTAGAATTTCCATTGAATATTTTTAAGTTGTCATTTCAAATGGCTGTATCGTCTAAACTAAACTTTTTACAAACAAATACTAAGAGACAAAAAAGTTTTCAAATGGATGTTGCACTCCAGTGGCGTTTCCTTTGTAATTAAATTTTATACTACAAAAAAGTTGAGTGGAGAAAAGAGCGGTGACCCCCTCCAAAAATCTATAAAAAATCAAGAAAAAAATATTGCCTCTTCCTCGGTATTATTAGTCATGGTATTCTAACACGTCATATAAAATTTCATGAAAAAAATTCTAAATGGTTTAAGAGCAACGTTAAAAAAATTCATTTAAATTTTTATCTTATACACCCTGTAACTATTTTTAAGTGCACTTTTGTATATAAATAAGTACGGTTTTATCAACCTATTTTTGACCCAAGAATATGTGGTATAATTTATAACCAATATTTTTGAAACACCCTGTATAAATGGGCTGTGCTGCACAGGAAGTCAGTCAATCGAAGTCGAGTCATAGCAGTGAGAACATCAATAAAGTAAATGTGATATAAATTAGTATAAGTAAATGTGTGAAATAAATTAGAAAGATAAAAGTGTTTAAGTATTATAAATTAATTAGTACGCAGTGTAAATAAATTATAAATAAACTGTTTTAAATAAATAAAGTATTTTTAAATTAAACAATCGTTACATTATTTAAGTGGTTTGTTTTTCGGTCATTTTTACTTTTGGGTTTTCCCCAAGACATTCTACGCTCTCTCTTTCAACAAATATATATCATGAATATATTAACGCTATTGATACAAACTTTTAGAAAGTATAATATTACTCACCTTAGCACCGGTTTTTTGCCATAAATGTAAATTGTCAAAATGTTCTGTGGATCCTGTAAAAATTACAGGCGATTCCCTTAAATCTAGGGCAGTTATTATTTTTGCTAAAGCATCCGAACAACCATGACCAGAAAATATTACTGCATCATCCTCGGAAGCGTTGACAGCAGTTCTTATTATATCTCTAGCTTCTTGCCTGGAAAAATAATTCTGAATATATTTTTGGTACACGAAGTGTCATACAGACTGTATCTCCGAAACGGTAACAATAAGAATAAGGTAATAAGTATAAACTCTAAGGAATCATGGATACAAAATTACGAACAATACTTTGAAGTTTCAAATTATAATTTAAAATGGAACTTTATTTTTGTGGTTCATCTTTTAACCAATAACGTCATTGTATTTGTGTTAAAGGGGAATTTCAAAAAAATCTAAATTTATACAGTACATCCTATTTAAAATTTAATAATTGATACTTTTTTTTGAAATTGACGTACCTAACTTTAAAGTATTATTCGTAATTTTGTAGCTCTTCTCTTCCTTAAATCCTAATAGTTTCAACTTATTACCTTTTACAGTTTCGAAGATGCATACTGTATGAAACTTTGTGGCCTGAAAAAAAAATTGGAGAATTTAATAATAACGCAATATATGGGCTTTATATACATAATTAACAAAAAAAGTGACGCAATGTTATTATCACGAAATCCGGGAACCATAAAAATGGCATTGGAAGTAGCTACTTACAAGTATTAAAAATTAAAAAAAAAATCAAAATCGTGCAGATGCCATCACTACATCTTAACCAAATTTATATGGGACCACCCCTGAGGTACCCCCTTACTAACAAAAAAAGAATAATAGAAATTGGACAAGGTGGTAAAGAATTATCGCTAAACATACATAAAAAATTAAGAGTTTGAGGATTTTCTGATGGATCCAATTATTAGATTTCGACCAAATTTATATGGGACCATCCCTGAGGTACCCCCTTTCTAACAAAAAAAGAATGTTTAGGCACAAACATTCATCAATGGCCCAAATTCAGTGCATAACAGACATAATTAATAAAGCCTACAAGGAAAACTAATATGTTAAGTAATATTTTTGGAGGTCAGTCATTCGATCGAGTCTAGCATAAAGGGATAATTAACAAGTCCAAGAAAATATTACAAAAACAATATACTGAGATTTTAAAATCTTATATTACTGATCGGGTATTCCATCTCAAAGATGAGGAAGCATTTTCTACAATAAAATATATTAACGCAGATGTGCCACAAGGTAGCGTGCTAGGACTAGTGCTTTACCTGCTGCACACAATCCGAACATGTGGCGATCACTAGTTATACTGACGATACAACTAACTTATCAGTGAAGCGAAGAAACTATAGATACACTCCAACAGACATGTACCAATGTTAACTGAATGGAACAAGACGTGGAGAACAAGAATAAATGAGATCAAATCATCATTCAATAGCTTTACCTATAAATAAAGGGAACAAATACCAATAACTATAAATAATAAGAAGATACCACAGTATGATTCAGTAAAAGTAAAATACCTGAGAATGAGCCTGGATATTCGAGTAAAATGGAAAGAACATATAGAAAGCAAAAAAAAAGGAATGAACTTGACATAAAATATAAAAAATTCATAGGCTATTGGGACGAATATCAAAACTTTCTGTATATAATATTATTATTATATAAACAGATTTTAAAGCCAGTCTAGCTCCATGGATATGTTTCTAGGTATTCTGGACATGCCATAGTAGTATAGAAATGATCGCCTTCACAAATACTTGTAGATATCGGTCGTCCAAGAAGAGGACAATAGATCTGCAGGAATACACGGTGGAAGACTCCACGCCCATGACAATAGTTCGTACATATCCTAGATATAAGGCAGGCCTAAAAGGAAAACTCAAATGGATTAAACCTTTTGAGCTTGTGTAGTTACTCTGTAGTATCGATGATCGCTGACAGTGGTTTCTTTGTTATGTGCATATTCCTATTAAACTTTGTTCAAATCATTGTAAGGTATACCGTGTCTATATTCTACCGAAAGCAACAAATCTTTTGAGTAGGAGTTCCATATAGATATCAAGATATTGCGATGGACAAGAAGAAATAATATTATCCATCTCCTCTAAAATCTAATCAACCATTTAGATGGACATTAAACAATATTCAAGAAAAAAAAATACTCAACAACAGTGAAAGAAGTACATGAACGATATCGAATTATGTTTTAAGATATTTCTTTATAAGCCACAAATAACTGTAATGTAACCTATCCTAGAATTTAATAAAATATTTATATTGTCTAAAAAGATAGATTTAAACAGGTATATATTATGTTTCTTAAAAATAAAACGAAAAACAATATTAATTATTGGTAAAAATACTCACCTAAATAATGTTGTTTGAAGAGACGATATGCTAGTTGTATAAGGCGTGTTTCCATACGTAGGTAAAACTTCCCTTAAAATATATTCTTCTATGAACTGTAGAGATCTACCGGATGCTGCATAATCACAGAAAACAACTGCAACAAAAAAAAATGTATCAAAAACACAATTTATATTAGGTTATAATAATATTATTATCAATCATATTTAATATATCAATAATTAAGAAATAACATTATTTTTTGTCGTTCTACAATCTTTGAAATGTTTATTGCTACAGGTAGCTCTGTTGATAACCAGTTCTTAACAGAGAAAAACCACAAAAAGGTGACGTTTTCATTAAGATTTATGGTTTCCTAGAAATTTCATACCACTTCTATTCGAATTACCACAATATTTTTCTGAAGGGATCCGTTCTATAATAAATAAATATACACATCACACGTATACAGATGTAGGGGACAAACTCACAAAAATTGTGTATATTTGAGATTTTATTTCTTTTTTTTTATAATATCAAAATATTAGAAAAAAACGTTATTTTTTATACCAAGAAACAATATCAAAATAAAGAAAAACAATAAAATCTCAAAGTCATGTGTTACAAAATAATACGAGCGATCTTCTCTCTCCGGAAAACAACTTATCCCTTGGCTAATTCCACAACAGGCATTATATCCAAAGAAAAATAGCAGGCAGAATAAATAGTAATTTTGTAACATGGTTGAAATGACAATTGATACGAGTGGAAGATTCTGGAACGTAGGCATATGCGAGCATGAAAAGCCACGAGTATCGGATTTTCATTCCAACAGAGCAACAGACTGTACTTTCTCCACGGCCACAGACACAGTAGAATTTGAATATAGTAAAATGAAAACTTTGAACAAAATGAAATAATTAATCTAACTTGTGTTCGGCAAGTTTTAATTAAGATCATTTGCATAATTTGTAATTTCAGGAGGAGTATTATTAATTTCCATATCAGAATCATTATGTTAGCCCATTTTTATTTTAAGTTCGACCAAACAAACGCCGCTTATCTTTACTTAGGCAAATTCAATCAAAATAATAATACGTCATGAAATTCATGACTATTTACGATGCGGAAGTGATATTCACAACCATTGTCCAGTAGCTATTACAGATTGAACATTCTGCCACTAGAATTAGAATGAAATAAGTGTAAAATACATAAGAGGCAAGTGTTTCAGAATTTTTTTTCAATATTTCCTTTCTGAAGTGGTTTAGGAAGAATTACATTCAGTAGTGCCCATGGAGAAAATTATTTTCAATACTCTAACTTTGATTTTGCTTACTAAGCAGAACGTCATTCTTGGACCGGTTTGATCCTTATTAGGACTCGTCAGTAAAAAACATAGATATTTTCAAATCCAATCTCTAATGGAACCTCTAGAGGCATTTCATTTGTATACCTTGGTGTTGGATGAGGAGACTAAGACCTCAGAATGGAGCCCATCTACACAATTGTTCAGAACTGTCAGTTGTTAAATATTAAGATTTGTTCTTGCTACTAATACAAAATAAATCATTTGGCTTTTTTCATTCCAATTTATAAATGTCATAATAGAGTTCGCAGTATAATATGCTATTCTAGCTATACTATTTTCACTAGATATAATCCAATGTATGTGGAGGTATATAGCCAGAGAAGTATTTGTTTTCCAAATGGAAGCAGTCGATCAACAGTTTCTTGTGACACAGCTGAGTTTTTCTTTTTTTATTTAATATAATGATTGTTTAGGATAATCTACATACCAAAAAACCAATTAAAACCTTTCAAATGATAATAATTTCCTTTTTTGTTGGCCAACAAAAAGCGGACGTACATGATTAATTTGTTATTGAAATAATAACTGGCCTAATGCCTTAGATAAACAAAGGTTGAGCTAACAATTCGATAAATATTTTGTCGGTGACGGCTTATCAAGTGGTCTCACGCTTTTTGGCGATATTAAAGAGTAATTGGCCATTCTTCATTCTGTGTTATCGATACGTGATGATTATTATTTATGTTAATTGAAAGGTTATTAATTAAATGAGTAAATGATAGAATTGAATAATATTCGTGACATTATGTTGTTTTGTTGTTTGTTGTAAATGAGGAAGAGGAAATTTAGGGCAAAAGTATTCATTGGTAAACATTATGGATATTGTACTAAAAATTTTAATAAAAAATATTTTTGATACACTTGATTATTTTTAAAATAGTCTGCAGCCATTTTTTGAACCGAACTTTTCATCTTGTACTTTACTACTCGTCTTATTAAAGTTAACCCATCTGCCTTATGGGATTCTCCTGGTGATCTGACTCACTTAGGTTGGTTCCATGTACACATACAACTCTAGTATTTCCCTTTTCCTCTTCATTCCCATTCATTATTGCCTCGATATAAAACCAACATCCACAAAATTATACTTTCTGGTGTTTTATTTTTGATATAATAGAATGAATTATACACGTGAGTTGAGGATCAATTGGAGTATACTCCGCTCTCTTTAAGGGAGGGTAAAGTTGAGTTAGGTAAGATAAATCCAAAGGTCTGGTACCTAATTATTTCCAGAATTAACAATCCAATGCTTGTTCCAGTTTCAGACCTATTCTCATCATACCGTTTCTTGTCATCATTACCTCAATAATATGTATAACATTTCTTCTCCATTCCAGGATTTGAGCAGAGACGTTCCTTAAAAGGATTTGATATAAGTTAATCTTCTGATATCTTTCCATGACATTAATGTTTTTCCATCTGTACAATTAAAGATAATTTCCTTTGTAGTGCCAATAAAAGGTTCTGGTCCTATTAACCTACAGTTGTCCCATTACTAACAGACTGAAATTTTATTCTAAGACTGAGACGTTCAGATGGAGCTCAAGGCTTTAAGCTCTAGAAAAATTCAACTTATTGGTAAAATATCCGTAGGTATCGAATATGTTAATTTGATGTAATTTTTTAAATAGAAATGGTATGTCTTTATTTGTAGCACCATATGAGAAATGAATAGGTTACAAACCAAAATCCTAGTATACAACCAGTGTATTTTTTATTTTTTTTGTGCATCATCGGCATCAAGTGCTATAGTTATTAGCCTCGTGTTCGATACAGGCTTTGTTACTGTTTCCCAGCGCCACTTCTGGAGCAGCCCTGTTAATTAGAACCCAACACAGTGAATGGTCGAGTGGGACATCTTACCTATGCTTTAGAATTAATACTTAATTCATTCAATTAAATAAAAATCCTGTCACTGACGGGATTCGGACCTGAGGCCCTTCGATCTCAAAGTCATGAATCTAACCACTGAGCAAACCTACATACTTAATTTTGGCTCTTATGTGTTTAGCGTCATACTAGAGAGATTTTTGTAATGTCTTCAAATGCATGATCTAATAACAAAAATGTCCCTAGTGTTATTTCTTTGCTCTTCTTATTTATCCAAATATTATTTTATTCAAAGTGTTTAGGACTTGATGGCTTATATCGGAAATGTTTTACCATCCATTACTATTAATAGGGCTAAATAGGAAAGTGAACTACTAAACCAATTATTTATGCCATGTAGGAAAATTACATGCCTATAAATTATTTACAAAAACAGATGGAGGAAGTGAAGAAATCGTATATTTTAAATGAGAAAAATGTCATAGAATCGTGTAGCTCTTGATTGTAATTACTGATTATCGTTTGCATCCGATAGGTTTTACGTAACACTTTACGGTTTCAAAGAAGAATGAAACTATAAATGATAACTCACGATTTCGTATGTGAAATTGAACTTCGATGCTAATGAGATTTGTATCTAGGTAGGAAGTGTATTTTGCAATTTAATTTATTGTTTAAAAAACCAATGACTCTGTATTAATTTATTAAGTTTACAGTATATGTTATATAAGTAATTTTCATTGTTTTTTTAACTGTTTGAGGAATTATTTCTCTTTATGTCTACAATTTGAAGTATTTTTTATTAATTTTTTATTAATTTTTTGAGCTTTTAATCTTTAAATCATCAGACAAGGTTTTTTTTTTTAAGAAATTAGAGCAATAATGAAATTCTGGAGAAAGGTGATAGGTGTGTACACACTGTGTAATTGAGAAATGAAACTAGTGAGTATTGTATGTAAACTGGGATTATCTAAATATAATCCCGTATTTAATTAAAAATTAGTCTAGCGCTTTCGGCTTATTAGGCCATCATCAGGACTCTACAATAGAAAATTAGGTATCAAGACTTAAGAAATAAAAAGTTCTCTTTTTAAAATGACTTACTAGTCCGTTATAACATAGAATTCAAGAGGATCCATTAAGAGCAATTGTTAAACATAAACGGCGATGCCAATAGAATACTCAACATCCCAACCAATGACGAAATTAGAAAATATAAAAGCAAAGGATATAAAAATCCTCAGCAGGTCGAACAAAATATTTTTGACAAAAAGTTGCCATATGTTCGTGTGCCAGCTGGTGTTAATAGCAGCATCGAACTAAGAAGCATCTCCCCTCCCCCTTCCTATTTTGTTAAACCTATTTTATATTTTAAATTTCACATGTTCACTTCTACCTTTTTTAAATTTCATGTATTTTCAAATATTTGTTTTGTATACTTTTCAATTTCGATGAAATTTTGTCATTTATATTTTTAACTATTAATATCCCCGCCAATATCGAGGTTAATTTTCAATTTTTATAATTTTTATAAAAAAAATTGTTGTTTTTATATTGGCAAGAATGGTAGCTTGTCACTTTAGACACGATTGCGTCACACGTCACCTGTCATCGAAACTTCCTCTGAGGAAAATGTCGGGTTTTTATACGCCAATTTGTTCCAGCATCTTTCTATGCAGATTTGACTTTAAATTTAAACGGAATCCGTTCAAGTAAAAAAATATGGGTCAGTGCTTGGTTCGATGCTGCTATTAACACCAGCTGGCACACGAACACGTGGCAACTTTTTGTCATGGATACTTTGTTCAACCTGACGAGGATTTTTATATCCTTTGCTTTTATATTTTCTAATTTCGACATTGGTTGGGATGTTGAGTATTATATTGGCATCGCCTATTATGTTTAATAATTGCTCTTTGTGGATCCATTTAAATTCTATATTGTAGCAGACGGGTAAGTCATTTTAAAAAGAGAACTTTTTTATTTTTTAAGTCTTAATACCTAATTATCTATTGTAGTCTTGATGATGGCCTAATAAGCCGAAAGCGCTAGACAATCTTTAATTAAAGACGGGATTATATTAAGATAATCCCAGTTTACAGACTTAAAATACCCATTAGTTTCATTTCTTAATAATGAAATTGTCTTTGATTATAAATACTCTATTCTTCATAATAATTGATTCAAAAACATTTATTTTGAATATAAACATTTTTATATTTTTTTAAGCAACATACCCATTCAAAATAACTTCAGCTTCTTGTTTTTATCTACTTACGGTATTTTTAGTAGTTGGTCTATCAATCTTTTAAATATCAAATTTAACAGCACTGTTGTGTAGGAATTTTTGTCCTTCAAATGTAAGTATTTTGTATATATTAGATTTATAGTGTTGCCAGGACAGAGATAGAACTTAATTGTTGCTAAACAGGCATGTGATTTAATTTAGTGATGAGTCTAGCATGTCTCCTAAAGACAAATTAACACATCAACAATTTAGAAACGACAAATGGGCTAACACGTTTCAAAAAATAAATCCAAACTACAATTCGGTGAGGAAAGTTGCAAAATATTTTACTAAGGGAAACATGTAACATAGCTGTCACTTAAAAATAATCGGCAACCTATTAAAAACGTTAGGGAAGGGATAACATAACTGCCGAAACAAGAAGTTCCAAAAAGAAATAAAGAGAGGCAGTGATGATGTTACAAATCAGAAAGTCCCCTGAAACAGAAAATTCTCACTAGAAAATATGTGGTTCTGTTTAAAAAAAAAACGATGACGATATTTATACAAAAGTGATGACGTCATCACTATTTGAAATTATAGTGTATTATGCGTAACTGAAAATAAAAATTGATCTGTCCGAGAGTTTTATAAAAATAATTTTAGAATGAAAAATATTGAATTTATTCAAACCTGTACGTTCTCACTGTACAAGTATAGCTAGTACCATCATGATTTGCCCATTTAGGTATGCCTAAATATAAAGTAATCTAAATTTATAAGCTGGTTGCAACAAAAGATAACATTGTAAGATACAAACGACTTTTGTTTTATGTATCTAAAAGTAGTAGTGCTACTGTTAATAGCACTATTGTTTATTTATATCAACATCGTTATAAAACAAATTCACAATTTTTTTATTAAATTTTGATAAAGATAATATTAGAATAAATCTGTATCATGCTCTAACGGTTGACCAGAAGCAGGATCTCTTAAAATCGCGACAGTAAACTAGGTAAAAGGCCGATATTCTCCATTGATGGCAAGTGGTTCACAGACACGATTAAGATAATTTGTAAATGAGAATTGATGTATTGATTGAATGTTTTTCATCCTCATTCCTAGTAAGGAGAAAAACAATTTGATTCAGGATGTACATTAAAATTTTAGAATGTTTACAGACTTGGAGTAACAAATACGCGGTAGCAGTTAAGTAGTGTTTATTAAATTATCGATAATAAACAATTTGAACAATTTAATTAAAAAAAATCGTTAATGATTATAAACGAACACCTAATAATTATAAATCAGAATCAGCAGCATATTAATGACCAATAATAGAAAAATAAATAAACTACCTGAAGGAAAACCTTTTCATAAATAGCACTAGAGAAAAATAAGATAGATGAAGGGATAAATTAGTAAAGTAGTAGCAATTAAAATAAATATTTTAAGGAAAATAAAAAGAAAAAAATATGCAAAGCAAGAAAACATGGTAATAAAATGAATTTAGACATTAATACATTTATGTATATCAAGATGAGTTTCTTTAACTAAAATTTGATTCAGGATCAAGATAAGAACTTGGCGCATCATTCTTTGTACTTTGTATTGATATATCTTTGCTCCCTTTTGTACCGGAGTTTCAGCACATAGACAATATCTAAGAATCCATCGGTCGTACATCTTCAGGAAAAAATAAAGTAAAAACGGCCCTAAAAATTACTATTACTTTCAAGCTCATAAGATGACCGCTAGGGGACAAGGTTAGCTAGTAAAAATCAAGGTCGGTTTAACTGTTGTGGCTAAAACTAGTTTTGGACACAAGCTTCCAAAACCCCATTAAGTAATCACTCAATTAATGCAATCAATTAACAATTGAATAAAACCTTTATTACAAAATAGAAAAGTAGCGTTATTCTCATATTTAAAATATTTTATAAACATAAAAAACTATTGCAAGCTATGTAATATGTCATACATACTTTAAAT